TTTTGTGCGAGGACGACGTTCGCCAACCACGTGGGGTATTTCACCTCTCTGATGTGTCTAATGGAGAGAAGCATGGCCACTTCGGTCTTGACAAATTCCCTCCTGTCGGCTGAGAGTTAGCGCTTCTTTTGCTTGATGGGGGAGGAGGCCGGGTTGACTGAGAGCTGATGCGTGATCACTTTTGGGCTGATGCCTGGCATGTCCTCTGGTCCCCATGCGAAGACGATGGCGTACTCTCTCAGGGCAGAGAGGATGTCCCTTCTGATTTGTTGGGGGAGCTGTGTCCCGATCTTCAACATGCGTTCCGGCCGAGAGACATCCAACGGAACCTCTTCCACGTCTCCGACCGGTTCGGCTTTTGGTGTGTCTTCCTCGGCCGAGGCGGCGGTAATGGTGTCTATTCGCTCCTCGGCCTCATTAATCTTCCTTGTGAGCTTGAGGTAGCAAGCCCTGGCTATCTTCTGATTCCCTCTGGCGTAGCCGACGTCGTCCTTGGTGGGAAACTTGAGGCATAGATGTTTCATGGAGATGATGGCCTCAAGGTCTTCCAAAGCCGGTCGGCCCCAGATCATGTTGTGGGCGCTGTCCAGGTTGACGACCACGAACTCCATGTCAATCTTTTCCTGACAGGTACCGTCATCGACCACAACGGGAAGCACTATCGTGCCCTCGGCGTCGATAGAGTCCCCGGTGAAGCCGGATAACGGAGTCCGTATCGGCCTGAGCTCAGTTTTCTTCAGCTTTAGCTGTCTGAAGGTATCAACGTACATCACGTTGACGGAGCTGCTAGTGTCGATGTAGTTGCGGTGGATGATGTTGTTGCAAATCTCGCACTTGACGACGAGGGCATCTCTGTGGGGTAAGGGGCCGAAGGGGAGGTCCTTGTCAGTGAAGGTGATGGCCTCCACATGCCGCCGCTTCGGCTGAGGGGGGGCGTGGGACACCTCACCAACGTATAGGGACTGAGCCCATTTTTTCCGTTGGGTAGCCAAGTCCCCCCCTGTGTTTCCGCCGACGATGATATGAATGTGATGCTTCTTCTGGCGGGGTTCTTCCTCTTCCTCGTCTTCGCTGGGGGCGCCGATCTCCCTCTTTTTCCCGGAGGATCCTTCCCCCCTTTTGCCAGGGTTAACCCAAGTGTTGCTCTTGGGGGCACCCTTGACAAATTGGGAAAGTTCCCCCTGTCGGAAGAGGCCGTCGATGTGCCTCTTCATGGTGGTGCAATCATCGGTCTTGTGGGACGTCTGGCGATGATACTTGCAATACGTCCCTCCTTTGTGGACTGCAAATATCTCTGCTTCCGATCTGGGATCCTTCACGATGAGGCCCTGTTCTTCGGCGTGATCCAGGATGATGCTCACCGGGTGGGTGAGGGGTATACGCTGTGCCTCCAACTTTGGGCGCCACGAGCGATCTTCTTTTCGTTGGCCGCCGGGCTCCTGGTGCGCCTTCTTCTGTTGGTTTTGTCCCTTGTTGGCCGGCGCGTGGGGGGGGGGGGGTTGGACGAGGAGTCCTTTTTCTGTTGCTTCTCTCCACCCTTTTTCTGGTTCAGGAGCTCGTCGGCGTCAGCGTGCCTGTCTCCGCGTCGGAGCGCCGCGAGGTATGACCGCGGGGGCTCCGTGAACAGACTCCGAGCGAAGTGGCTCGGCCGAAGTGCTCCGCGGAGGAAGGCCAGGAGGGTGCATTCATCAGCCCCCTCGCATTCGTCCACCTCCCTCGTCCAATGATCGAGGAAGGCTCGCAGCGTCTCCTCCGATTGTTGTTTAATGGTCAGGAGATGAGCGAAATGTTTCTTCGCACGTTTCCTCCCAGCAAAGTGGGTGAGGAAGCGCTGAGCAAGGTCCTGCCATGAGTCGATGCTACCCTCCGGAAGGTTGTTGAACCAATCGTACGCTGGTCCTTCCAAGGTGGAGAGGAACCAGCGGCACATGTACTCCTCCGAAGCGTTGGTCATCATCATATTGTTCTGATAGCGGGTGAAGTGCTCCTGGGGATCGGTGCGGCCGTCATATGGCTTGATTGGATTCCCCTTATACTTCTCAGGGATGGGGGCGGAGAGCACCCTTGCAGAGAAGGGGGTCCTGGTCCGTATCTGGATGACGGGCTCATCGCGCCGGTCAGCCAACTCCCTTTCTAGAGCACTGACTTTGTTCAGGAGTGCATCGTAATTGGGATGTTGGGATGTATGGGCCGCTGCGCGCCCTGCGGCCTCCCGGGGCTCCATATCAGCGAGGCGTTTCTCGATACGGGCAATGATCTCGTCCCTAGGATCCCTGGTGGCCGCAGCGCCATCTAGCGGAGTTTGGATTCGGGCCGCGTGGGCCTGGTTGATCTTGTGACGCACATCGTCGTCATCCAGCTTTCCTTTGCCTTTGTGATGACGGGGCCGCTCCGTTGTCCGGGAGACGGACCCGAAGCTTTCCTTAGGTGATCCCGGCTCGCGACCACCCAACCGATCCGCAACCCTTCCCGTAGGTACCCGACGGCTCGCGATGTCACCCAGCCTGTTGAAGGCCGAGATTTTACCGCGAGGCTGAGCCGGTGTATCCCGGGTAGGAGAGGCGGTATGGGAATGGGTGTCCACGGCGACAACACCCTCATCGTTGCCAAAGAAGGTGACGCCAAGCGGATGGGGTGGCGGTGGTGGCACCGTTGCGACCTCCCCAGTCACCGGAGTGTTGTTCTCCCCGGTCTTCGCGACATGAGCGCTGACCACGTTGGGGTCCTGGAGGATGCCGGCGACAATGGCTGATAGGGCTGCCGGGTTGATTTGGGGAACAACAGGGTGAGAGGCCTGTTGGCCCGAAGCGCGATCAGCAGCGCGTCTGTCCTCGAGCCCGATGCGGGCATCTGGAGCAGTCTTGTTGAGTTGGGTGCGAAGGTCGGCCGCTGCGAGCTCGACCTCCTGAGCATCCTCTTCATGGACGTTGGGGTCATTAAGGACGTTGTCAGCAATGTTTCCTTGCCCTTCCTGGTTGAGAGGGGCATTCCTACCAGTGTTCTTTGATCTAGTTCTCGTCATAGCTAGTGGTAGTGTGTGGTAGCGACGAAGGGTACTCACTTGATCTGTTCTAAGCTCTCAATGAAAGCACCAAATGATAGAGTATTAATTCTAGAGAGAAGTGAGAGCTAGAGAGAGAAAGTGAGTAATTATATTTCTCAACCCCCTATAACTAGCCCCAAGGGGTCTATTTATAGGAAAAAATGTGGATTTGGGCTCCTAGCTATGGGCTTAGGAGGCCCATTACAATAATCATGCCTTCTTTGGGCGAAATAGGGCCACTAATGGGCTGTGTACAATACTTAGTAAATAAAGTAGAGATATGCATTCTGCCAGGGCGAAATCTGGCCGATGCGGTGCCTTTTGGCCGATGCGGTCCATGGGCCGATGCGGCCCCCGGGAGTCCAGGCGTGCTTCCTGGGCCGGTTCGGTTTCTGGCTGATGCGGACCCACTGGCCGAAGGGGGCCACGTGGGTGATCTTCTGGTCATCGTTGACTTGAGTATGTGGACCATGGGATCCAGACCCATATACTCTATCAGATAGATATAGATATAGATATAGATATAGATTAGATCCTAAACCCAATGCTTCAGATTTATTTCTATTTTCAGGACAATGACTACTTGTATTTGGTTCTAAATCTATATACTGTGCACACTTCCTCTTTCAAATTGATTACGTTAGTGTCGTTTGATTTCATTTAAAGCCACATTATGTATATAGAGTGTCATAAACCAAGCATTATCATATTTGTTGTAGTCATGTTGATTTGAAAATTTCCAATAAATTTTGTAAATATTATTGACTCCATCTTTCAATATAATTATGTGAAATATAAGAATAGTAAAAATTGTGTGATTGAAGTTTATGGAAAATGAAAAACGTTTTTTGAGACAACCAAAAATTAAAGGAAAATTGGCAACGTACAATAGGACGGAGGGAGTAATATAATATATTTCTTAAACTAAAATTCTAACCCTTTTGTGTGGAATAATCTTTAATTTGGTAATATGGTTAGTAAGTAGTCTCTTAGATTTTTTAAGTTTGTGTGTTTTTGTAATTTAAATCATTCTGACTAGGTATGAATTTTTCTAATCTGATCTGATTTCAATCTTTCTGATTTGGTTTAATTTGAATCCCTGTGATCTGATGTGAATCGTTATGATTTGATCTGATCTGAATATTTTTAATCTGATTGAGTGTTTATCATCATCATCCTCATTAACATGATCATCATCATTGTTATTATTATTATTGTTATATTGTTTTTATATTATTATTATTATTATTATTAGTGAAGTTTATGTGTTGAATAATTTACACCTATTGAAAAGTCATTAACAATTTATCTCATAATGAAGTTTTCTTCTAAATTTGGTGAGGCATTTTAGGATGGTACATTTTGACGTGCATAGCTAGCTACTTGAAGCAGAAACGGAATAATAGTTATGTACACTACATGCTTTAGATTACAAGTAATTGTAGAATCTACATTATAAATAATCATGGGCAAAATTTGAAAATTATCAATTTGAATTGAAATGACTCTACCTACATTATTAGTACTAAAGTAGATAATTATTTACCAATGCACATACATGAACACCCACATATTCAAAATACATTTACAATTTGAGTTCAAAATAAAATCTGCATTTCAATCATCACTAAAACTCAAGTACAAATCTTTTTATAATTCGAATAAGTACTAAACAAAAAAAAAACATAGTAGCTAGTAACAATGATTTTTCGAGTTAATTTTTTTTTTACCTTTTTTTTTTACTCCAGGGGGGTCTGGGGGAGGGGGGGGCTGAGGGAGCCTGGAGTAATCAGGGGTGAAACTCACTCCATTGAGTTTCAAACCCTTGTGTGCCTAGCGGGTTTCGAACTCCAGACCTCTCACTATGCACGGTGACCTCACAACCAGCTGAGCTGGAATGCGAGTTAATACAATAATAGCAATACTACATACTAACAATCCCAAATACAGTATAAAAGTAGATTTCTATTAAAATAGCCATTAGCGCAACATGAACAATATGGATAGTCACGTCATACATATACATAAAAGTAGTATCATATATGATAGAGGTTGGTTAGATAAAGAAGGGATGCTAAAATAATCAGCATAGAACGCCTTTCGAGCCTACCCAGGTAAATCAGCGACCCACTTCAAAACAATCTCTTGGGACCTCATTTTCTTGTACATATCAGTATGCAAGTAAGTAGTAGTATATTGTGCTAAGCTATATGACAAGCTATTCACATGAGGATTCAAAGCATTGTCATTCAGCTGGTTGACTGGTTGAGATTTCATCAAAGAGTTATGAGTAACGCCACAATACAAACCCCGACATGAACCATACACAGAATCATTGCATAGACTAGATAAGCCTTGCATTTGACACACAGACACACTTTACTTTGAGACTTCACAATAAAGTAAACCCCCGCACCATGTATTAAGCTGCAAGGATCATAAAAATGCAATTAATAGTCAAACCACGTAACATTAATAACTTGCCATTATTTTCATGATTATTAATTTATTATCAGTGTGATATTAATATAATCTCATACAAATACGATACTATGTATATTCATGTCTATGTAAAGTATTGGGAGGATCGTGTTGAGACACTATCTGGGGTTTAGATCAAAATATTGTACTATCATATACATATGTATTTGGGACTGATGACGATTATAAAACAGACAATGACGAATCAATGAAAACATGAATGACAATACGATCCAGACGAAGTATCTGGTCGTGAGGAGGAGTGTTGAAATCCCACTCCAGAAAATTGTGAAGTAATAAAGTGTTATATTAAGATCTGGGCTACTCCTCCTGTAAGGTTGACCTTTTAGAATGAAACTTCGGATCATAACATGGTATCAGAGCCAATCGGCCCATAACCATGGTGTGGACCCCTATGAAAAAATGACGACGATTATATGAATGACAATGATGAATCGATGAAAAAATGAATGCCAACATGATCCAGATGAAATATCTGTTCCTGAGGAGGGGTGTGGAAATCCCACAACAGAAAATTGCGAAATGTTTGGGCTAGCTACTCCTCCTATCAGGTTGACCATTTAGGATGGCTGGATGGAACTCCGAGTCTTAACAGGGATACAAATACATTCACATTTTTAATGGAAAAATAATTTCAAGTTAGAAAAAGGGGTATGTTAGATTAATGTGATATATACATAGGGTGGATTTAAATGAGAAGAAGCATGTAGGTGAGAAATAATGAGAATGAATCTCAATGGTTGGATTCCATTGTGTTGCAGTAACAAAGGTTTATGTTGCACTAAAATATGTAACTATGTACGTTGAAAATTTCATAAGTGTTTTTGAAAAACCCATAATGTTATAATCTCTAGTGCAACATGAAGTTGATTTAGTGCAACATCATCAAATCCTAATGCAATATGAACTTTTTTAGTGCAACACATAAAATTTAAATCAAAGTGCAACATAAACCTTGTTTTTGTACAACATTGTAAATTCAATGATGATTAAGATTCATTCTTATTTCTCACATTAGATATATGTCTTACTTGAACCAAACATTCCAGCCCAGCTAGTTGTGAGGTTATCGTGCCTAGTGAGAGGTCTCGAGTTCAAAACTCGCTAGACACATAGGGGTTGAAACTCAATGGAGTGAGTTTCAGCCCTTATTACTCCAGGCTCCCCCTAGCCCCCCTCCCCAGACCCCCTGGAGTAAAAAAAAATAAAAGCAAATAGTTTATGATGATCAAATGACTCTAAATATAATAATGCATTAAAATCGATAAAAAACGTGGTGGCATATTCATAATTATGTCAAAAAAATGTAATTGTAATTAAAGTCGAGATGATGTATATTGAGATTGAACTTAAATGAGGTCGACAAATCTCTTCTTATACTACCTCCGTCCCAATTTGTTTTGCAAAATTTCCTATTTTGGTTGTCCCAAAATGATTTTCCTCTTTCTATTTTAGGTATATAATTAAGAATGAAGTGACAAACTTATCCTTACTTTTTACTTCTTCCCACATCTACTTTTAGGATGATGGGCAAAAGTGTAAAAAGCAAGCATCATTTATTGTTTTTCCTTAATCCTTGTGCCGGTCAAAGTTTGCAATTCAATTCGGGATGGAGGGAGTATAAAAGGAAAAGAAGTATGAGGCACAGTTTCCCGCTTGGAACTGTCAACTTCGATTATTCATTTTTTTAATTCGTCAAGAGAATAATAAAAAACAAGTATTTCAAATGTATGGGTACGTCCGCCACTACATATTTATTGGAGAAGCCAATTCCATTGGCCAAAGATGGAGGTGCGAATAGTAAAAAAAAAAATTCAGGTCTCCTATTAGGCGAAAGATTGGTGGCTACTGCTCACAAAAAATGTGATTACATGTTGCTCTGCTTGTGTGGTACTGGTGCATAAGGGCGGCCAAACAGTGAATAGGATGGGTCATGCTATTCTTAGCAAGTACTACATCAATTTTCTACTATAAAAGCACCATTCTGGTAGGAAGTTTTTCACAGCCATATTTTTTAACATGTTTAGGGAAGGCCGGATCTTTGCGGTGAAGGAGAGCAATACAAGGAGAGAAGGAACTACAAGGGAAATCAAACCTATAGTGTTCTGAGAATGAACACAGACCCGAAAGGTCCTATCCCTCAAAGTTTCTAAATCCAACACAGAGGTTTGTTTTTAATTTGCCCTTGCCAAATTGTTTTCCACGGACTGGGAATATAATGTTTGACAGTTTTTAAATGTATGCTACAGGAGGAAGATGAGTTCAATTTACTAAATGTGGCAGCGTACATGTTTAGACATTTTCTTTGGGTTTAATTTTTAGATTTAACCCATACACATCATGGGTCTATGGATTGACACGTGTTTACATTTTTCCAGGTTGACTCTTCGCAACTAATTAATTCGACTAGCCCTTTGCAGAGCAAAGACAAGAAAATTGTCATTGAAGTTGATGGGGAGAAACTGAAGAGAGATCTGTTTGATGAATTTTCCGGGACAATGCCAGCTTAGAAGATGAATATGTTTAAGAATGTAGTCCAGCCTCATGGTATTTGTGTTGATGGGTATCAAGATTGAAGAGGCAAAACCTTGAAAGTATTTCTGGGTTTTGATGTATATGTTTAAGAATGTAGTCCTCGTGGTATTTGTGTTGATGGGTTGCATGTATGGGTACTAATTACAAGGCACAGCTAACTCTATATGATAGTGTCTAGAGTTGGCATCTTCTGCCCTTTTTGGATTTTGAATTTTAGATTTGGTTCTAGCACATTTCAACCTAAAATCTATGTAACCCAGGTAGCCTAAGATTATACTCCCTCCGTCCCAGAAAATTCTTCCCAATTTGACTTGGCACGAAGATTAAGAAAGTGGAAATGTGTGGTTGTGGTTGTGTAAGAAAAATGTGAAATAAATGTGAACCACATAAATTGTCCAAAAAATGAAAGTGAGAACAATTTTTTGGAACGGCCCAAAAAGGAAAGTGGGAAGAATTTTATAGGACGGATGGAGTAATAAAATAATGAATATTTTGTTTGCAATGATGTTATGGATTCTATGGAGTACATTACAATCTTTAGGCAAAATGGTATCATCAATCACATTGTTAAATGATGCAACGAACCAACCGAGTCCCTGGCAAGAGTGGTTATTCAAACGTTTACTAATTCCAATATCCAACATTTCTAGAAAGATGACCTGAGGTAACTTGCTCAATTTACATATGAAAACTATTCTAACTTCAATATCTACTTTACAAACGTATTTTATTTGTTATATGGCTCTTTGATGTATGATGGACCCTCACTTGAAGAATGGCTCATGGTTTTGATGTATGATGGGCCGGCACTACCATATGATGTTGTCAGTGTTGTCTAGTGTTTGTGAGCATCGAAAACAAGACTACATCTTAAGCTTGGAGTTTTAAAGGGTAAGCCATCTTGCACATTGTTGTTATTTAAGGTGGTTTTGTGGTAAATGCATTTTACTTTGTTTTGACCATTGTAATATTGAATACTTCGTACTCCCTCTGGTTCATAATCTCCTTGACACTTTGACTTCACAGGTTTTAAGAAAGTAAATTTGACTTTACTGTAGAGTACATTGTTTGGCACTGTTTGGACACTGTTTGACACTGTTTTATGTAGATTTGTTTGCCAAATAAGGCAAATAAGGAAGTGTAAAGAAGAATGTGGTACTGACAAAAAAGGAAAGTGTAAAGAAGAATGTGAACCGGAGGGAGTATATTTTAAGGACTGAATTAGTGAGGTCAGAAAACATACCTGGCCTATCTACTTCAGCCGAATTCCTATATTTTACCTGCTCTAAATCCTAATTTTTAAATTATTGGGTATCAAACTTACAAATGCAAAGAACATTGCACTTTACAGATCAAGAGAAGGACAACACAAATATATATTGTACCCCGAGGTCAAAATACTGTCTGCTAATAAATTTTCAAGAAACTTCTCGACCGTGCATCACACGGATGATGTTACTAGTAATCTAATAACATGTTGGTAACCTAAGCTACTAACAATGTTAATTGGGGGTTTTAACAATTAAGTTCTTGTGTGGGGCTGATTTTTTCCCAAGTACGTGGCGCTAATTCGTGACTTATTTAATGATAGAATGAGAATCTAGTGACAATTGTTCCAGAGCCCAAGTAGGTGATATAATGATGAGTGAATAAGAGGTTAATTTTCAAATATACTCAAGAATTTATGATTTTTGTGTAATTTTTTACACAAAGCAATAATATTCACTTTCCTTTTTGGATGTTCATATAAAAGTTCTCATTTCCACTACAAGAAACAATTAACAATCTTAAGTAACAAATTAACCATTAAATATTTAAAATATTTATAACATCACAGTTATAACACTAATCCTATCATATTATATACCTATTAAAATTAATTCTCAAAATATACTCGAACTATATTATTTATTTATTGTCTAAATAATCGTGCCTTTTGCTATGAGAACCTTGAGGGAGGTAGTATTATATAGAATATGTCTAGCTTTATTCAAAATTAAAAACCCAAATAGTTTCTATGTTTTAAATATAATTCCAATTTCCAATAATCATTAATTTTGCCTTGAAATAAATGAACCACTCACTACTCTTGCAAGCTTTGAAGGATGAAGGGGCTACTTGACCACTCTCAGTAAAGCCGACAAAATGGGCCAACCCGCGGGGTGGCCCATTCAAACCCATTTATTGGTGGGTTAGGGTTGTGAATTTTTGTCCCATTTAGTTCGCGAGTTTCAATTCGCGGGTCAACCCACATGGGTTGCGGGTTTAAGTGAGTTGGCCCAATTGGTTGTGTGTTGATCCGCGGGTCGATATACAAACATATAGTTTTGACTTTTATTACCTTCTATATTGTTCTTTTATTAGCAAAATTATTATAATTACAATTAAAAATTACAATCATTGCAAAGTAACTATTATATCTATAATAAATATTCAAATAAAATTTTAAAACCTATATTTTATGTGAAGTTCGATAAAGTATTTTGCAATTAGTAGTCATGATTTACAAATAATCAATCGTAAAGTTTAAATAGATCTTTACTTTTATACAATGAGTATTTTTGTTACATACCCTTTTATAGATTTTGCAATTACTTTTATACGTATAGCTAGGTATTTAATATTTTTTTATTTCTTATAATTTTCTTATTACTACCTACTAATATAAATACTCCGTATATACTTCAAGGTAATTAATTTTAAAGAATCTTTTGTCATATTTTTTTATATTGACCCGCGGACCAACCCGTTTAACCCGTTATTAGGTGAGTTGGGTTAGAGTTGTAGAAATTATGACCCATCACTAAACGAGTTGGCCCGACCCAATCCATATAAAGCATAACTCGTTAGTGGTTGGGTCGGGTTTGGCCTGTTTGAGAGCTCTAACTCTGAGTGTGTGACTCCTGGCTGCGCGAGCTTAGTGGTTACAAGTTACAACAAAACATTTATGGTCGAAAAGAAAGTAATTAATTAATTAATTAATTATGTAAGCTAAGGAAAAACTATGAGTATATACCATGAGAGACCAAAATATACTCCGACATATGTTTTCGTGAAATTGCGGGGCTCCTTTCTTGCGGCACTGACAATTCCAATGAGGTTAGTATATACGAAAGCTACCACAAGAAAGCCCATTCCAGCCATCCAATTGTAATCCTTTTTCTCACAATCTGTCGCCTTATTTATCACCAATATCATTATATTCAGGATCAACAAAATATAAGTTAGGGTACACTATTATATACTTCGTATGAGACCAATATTCAGGTCCGGCCAGGCCGGACCACTCCCCCCGTCCGTCCTCCTCCATTTGGGGGCCTTCCCGGTGGTATTTTTTGCTCAAATTTTTTGTGTAGGTTCCTCATCAAGTCTAGTTCATCCATACCAAATTTCAGCCAAAACTTCAATCGGGAAGGTCGTCAAATGATTTTTGCAAGTTAACTGGTCCGGAATATGTATTTTCAAGAATTCATTTGAATGCCTTCCCCATTGAAGTTTTAGCTGAAATTTGATACGAATAAACTAGACTTAATGAATAAGATGCTCAAAAAATTTCATCAAAAAATTCCACCGGGAACCATCCCAAATGACGACGGCCGGACAGAGCCTCCTAAATAAGGGCTTATTTGACCTTTTTTAGTTAGTACATGGGCTTATTTGCACTTTTTCCCAATACTATAATACGTTTGAAGTTTTGGGAAAAAATCATATTGTTAAAACGATTGACCAAAGTTTATATCCACTGGCCGGCTAACTAAAAAGCTATGAAGGTAGTATTTTGTAAGTACACATGTGTTAACATTCATGTGATAAAACGTAACGAGTATGGACTTAGTAGGTACTTACTACATCGGGTATAGCGTTTCTGGCTTGTATCAGAAAAATAAATGCAATAATATCCGATAAAGCGCCAACAACAAAACCAACTAACGCGCACCCGTCCATTTATTTGATCGATACTCCGTAATATTTAATAAAACCTGAAGTGATATTTATAGATTCGAACAGGCCGGCATGCCAACTGAGAAGAAACTCCTTCCCATTTTATAGCGCAAACTGGTAGGTTTCATTTCACTTTATTTTCGCGTTGTTATTAACTCCGTATGTAGTACGGAGTAATTAAGAATGATGATTATATGCAAACACCTTTCCAAATGGTCTTCTATATATTACAAGACTTTGAATTAGTAACTAGGTCCTTGATTACACCAAATCATAGAAAGTTAAATTCAGAATATATTATGTACGAGAGTACTCTTCCGGTCAGGAATTCCTGACCGGAACCGCCGTCCGGACGGCGGCGTTTGGCCGCCTTCCGGGTGGAAGTTTTTGATGAAATTTTTATGGCATGTTCTCCATCAAGTCTAGTTTATCCACAAAAAAATTCAGCCAAAAATCATTCGGGAAGGTCATCAAATGATTTTTTCAAGTTAACTGGTCCGGAAAATACATATTCCGGACCAGTTAACTTGCAAAAATCATTTGACCATCTTCCCGATTGAGTTTTTGGCTGAAGTTTTTTGGGGATAAACTAGACTTGATGGAGAACATGTCATAAAATTTTCATCAAAAAATGTCACCGGGAAGGCGGCCAAACGCCGCCGTCCGGACGGCAGTTCCTGTCCGGAATTCCGGACTTGAACATTTGTGTTATGTACGATAATCTAAAATTGACTGAATTGGATGATATATGACGCTCTTTCTGAAGTGACCGTATTGACTGATATTGCAGATTTATAAAAAAAAAATTAAAATATTTTTTATTAATAAAATGATGAAAACATTATGGGAAACAATTGCTAAAATATTGACTGATTTAACTTCAATCAATGCAATCATTAAAGTAACTTGATCCTTTTTTATTTTGATTATTGCATAATTCAGTATGCAAAACCAAAAGATACGCTTTTGATTAAAAAAAGTTGTCTAATAAGACTGATAAACCACAAAACAGAGTTACGAAATGGGCTCTTAATCTTATTCTTTTGAATTTAGATGCGATTTCTAAGTTAAATTTTATAAATACGAAGAGATATATATTACGGAGTATTTGATGAATTTTCCAATTATTATCAATCATGCATGTACTCACTATGTTCCAATTTAATAGCAGATAAGTTTTCTATTTTTAACTGTCATAGTTATTTTTCACTTATAAATATTTTAAGAAAAGAGAAATTAAAGAAACAAAATGACAAATGTACCCTTACACTATTTGTACTTACGGATGTGTGGATCTGATTCTTAAAACTATTTTTGCTCCTTTAGAGTGGAGTGTTTGAGTGAAAGTGCATAAGTGATTTTAGTGCTCTAATTTACTTTTGAAATCAGTTTTTTTAGAAGCTGAGAGATATCAACTTCTCAAAATTGATTATCATTCTACTTTTGCTTTAAAAAGAAGCACAGTCTAACAGAATCAGTTTGAAACACTCCCAATTCTGTATTACCATTTACATTTACCGGAGAATAAAATCCGAGTCACCTACATTTACGAATTATGAAGACTTTCACTTCACCCACGCACCACCCATACCAACCTTAGGTTCCTCGCCTCCCATATTTTTCAATTTATTGTTACATTTGAAACTTTTTGTGGACAACGCCTTTCGTGGCAAATAGCTTTCTAATTTACGAAATTTTACAAATTCTTTTTCTTGTTTATAAAAGAAAAGTTAGAGTCGTAAAGTGAATTTTTATTGGGCCATTCAATTTTTACAATTCAATTCGTCAAGAAAGGAGAATATTTTACTCCCTAATTTTTCGAAGTTAAGTTGAAAAACATGAGCTTGAGCTACCTGCAACCAACAATGGCAAATCATTTAATTGTTCATACGAACATCCAAAAGTTAAAAAATGAATTAATATGCTTACAAAATTAGGGTATATATAATTTATTTATGGGATATTACCTGAAATAGGACTAAAAAGGTTTCAAAATTCCAAAATAGGACTGACATGTTTTTATTCCCAAAATAAGACTAATTACTGCCATGTTTTGGCAGTACCAGACTTCAAACATGGCAGTATTTTCCAAACATGGCAGTAATTACTCCTATTTTGGGAATAAAAAACATGACAGTCATATTTTGGAATTTTCAAACTGTTTTAGTCCTATTTCGGGAACTTTCCCTTTATTTATATGATACGGAGTACGTTACGTACTTCTTAAATCTATCTATAGATAATACATTTGAAAGATACAATTTAGGAAACTTTTGCCACATGTCATCTTCTCAACAATTTGTTCTAATTCTCTTCCTAATTAATAGTACGTAATAAATTTTCCTTAAAATTAGCTATTCCATCTTAATTAGGATGTCTTATTACTCCTTCGTGTATCTCCTTTTAGTTTTAATAGTTAATACAATATCCTTTTAAAAATAAAGTCTCATGATTATTTTAAAGTGATATAACTTTTATATTTGTAATCTGATTTCTACAAAAAATATATCAAAATTCATAACTTTTTATTATCTTTCATATGACACCAATATTGAATATATAAAAATAAACCAATAATTAATCACTTTAAAAAATATCTGTTTTCTTAAAGTGTGTCTTTTTTATTGTACTCTGATTGTTACAAAAATTATACTCCGTATCAAAATTCATAACTTTTTATTATCTTTGACACCAATATTATCTGTTTTCTTAAAGTGTGTCTTTTATTTTAAAAATACAATTAAGAGTTATGCAAATTTTGTCGTGTTCGATTAGAATTCAACAAAGTTCAATACACTATTTATGTAAATTTTTCTCAATATGCAAATGGGCTCATAGATTAGGGTTATGATTGACACTTCGAAATGTAGATGGAGACTGATGTCTGAATTAAAAACTATTGTCTGAAAAAGACACTATGTATGGAGCTGAGCTGAATTTTGAAATGTTGCATCTGAACTGTTAGTATGATGAGGTAAATCCGTTTGACAAAAAGAGCTAAAAAAAATATCTTGAATAATATGAGTTGACCAAATCAGATCATACTGGTCGGACCATATTCGATCGGAACAGATAAATCAAACAAAAAATGGTCCAATTAAAAACGTTTTTAGTGAAGTCCTTCCTAAAATTTAGAACTCTATATATATTAGATTAATCTACTTAAAGTATTCACGAGCAAGAGTTGGAGTTAATTAGCTTATTATGAGGTTAATCATTCATATTTTAAAAGTATGCATTAGTAAATTTTAAAAATTGAGATGATGACACATGATTTGGTACTAAAATGAAAAATGTGATTTTAAAAATCATACAAGATACCACAAAAACTACTTTCTTGATAATGATCTCATTGAGAAAAACAAATCATGGACTCTGATCCACAATCATGAATAGGAATTTTATTCATGTACAAGTTTATGAAATGATTTCATTTAATGTTGTAAGTCAATGTATAAAAACAAAGGTAAAATGTGTTTAATAACAAGACTACATGTGTTAAAATTTGTTAAATACAAATTTGTCTTGGGAATAAAAACCAAACCACACAATGACACAGGTAAAATGTTCACCTTTCTAATTAAGGATATTTTCAATTGGAACCAAATTTTTTTATCTTATTTATGAAAGTTGAAGTTACTTTTACTGTAGCGTATATATTAATATAATCTTGGTATATTTTGCCCAAGAGCTTTAGCTCTCGGAAAGTTGTACTAATTACATATGTACGGAGTAGTATATAACAATCTTATCGTAACACTAAAAGTGGTGTTTAAGAGCTAGATAAATAAACAGGACTTTTTATAAAAGGTACTTGGTAATTCTTTTATTCATGGATGTAACTTTAATATAATATTATCTGGTCATGAAAATTGAGATCATTTTTCGTTTCTGAATATGGGGTTTGTCTTTTTATTTTTCATTGCATGTTTTGACACATTTATGTTTCGATTATAGCTATCTCTTTATGTGATGATAATTTTTTTTATAGATTTTATTCATCTGACATTCTAGGTAAAACTTGTTTATAAAAAGTCGTAAGGTTGCAACCTTTCTTCGTTCAATAACACTTATTCTTATTAATAAGATCTTATATACCTTCAATAACCTCAATCAAATGAAAAATAAATAGATCGCTTTCAATTACAATATGCAGCCTATTGTCACCACCATCGCCTTCATTAAAATAAAAATATCACAAAATTATATATTTTAAACTCTTTTCTTAAAGAAAGAGATCAAAAGACTAATTTGAAAATTTCTAAAACCTAGAAGGGCTGATATCCTAAAAAACGACTACACCCATTTTTAGATAAATACATTACCAAAATGTGTAGTTAATTTTGAACAAAACAATAAGCCACAAATGAAATTAAATGAATAAAAATAGGTATTGAGTATTTTATTTTTGCTTAGGTAAAAATATATTAGTTTCAATTCGATGCAGCTGAGAGTTATAAGAAATATAAAAAACATTCCACTAATATTACTCCTGGAAAAGTGGTAGAAAAAAGTGGGAGTAGGTAACTTTTAGTAGGGGTGGGCGCGGTCCGGTCCGGTCCAATATTTGATCGAACCCGTATCCGGACCGTTACAATTGAAACGGTTCGGTTCGGTTCGGTCCTAGAGCTAAACCCGTTCGGTACGGTTCCATTTTCAAACGGTACGGTACCATGCCATACCATACCAAACAATGCCGCTTTTTTTCGACAAATTAAAGATTAATCATCATCCAAAAATCCACACAATTATCAATTTTCATACTCCGTATTACATAATTAATAAATTTCATATTAGTACAAAACATAAATCACAAAACGTTCACGACAACAACTCTCTAAGCACCATTGGCTTCTTCAGACTCCAACTGCCCACTCAAACACACATAATCAGTGTATTTTTTCCCAATAGAAGCATTATTTTGGGCAGGCGGGTTGGAGTATATTTTTTTAGATGGGCTAAAGTGCTAATGACATTCATGTAATTTCCATGTTTAAATTTGTGTTTTTAATTAGTTTAGAGTGATTGTTACTTTGGAAATTACACACTTTTGATGTAATAGTTTAGTTTG